AAGCAATAAAACTCTTTGCTAGACGAACTTCTCGTTGAATACAAAATAATAACCTACTAACCTTTATTAATAAACAATCCAGATTCGTTGTAATCCACAATATTGTGGATGGTACCTAATTGCCTGCCACTAATATTCTTAGTGGTGCTGGATGAAGGTACCAAAAATAATTAATAAAACTTAGTACCTACCTAATAATCTATACTAAACTGCTAAGTTTCTCCTTATAATTTCATTAGTTTCTAATCACGATTACGTACCATCATTGCCTTTGAGAATTTTGTTTTTTATCGCCAATTCCAAAAGCAGTTTTCCACGACTCATTTTCCGTTTCCATTTGAAAAATCGTATCACGGTTATGTAAGTTATTATTAAGTTCAAAACAGCACAAATTAATTTTTAGATACGCACTAATACACGAACCAATAGCTATACAAGAACTAAAAATAGCTACAGTAATTACTGCAATTTCAAAAAATTCGCGAGTTTTGCAATCTTGCATTTTGCAAGCCTGTTCCTGTCGACTTTATCAACACTGCAAAATTGGCCAAAAACCATTGTAAGAACACGATACTACTTTGTTCATAACGATATTACACGACCTTGCTAAATAAATTTTTCGAGAAAAACATTGTATACAATATTTTTACAAAAAATATTCATTAATAACAAAAATTTTCAATATTGTAACATTGGTTACAACGTTACTTCCACCAAGTGATTTAAAATTTGCTCTTACAATAAGGCTATTTTGTTAAATAACTTTATATTTACATAAGATAGATAGATAAGATAACACAGACAAACAGGCAGTACAGCACGGGGACCCGTTATTTTCTCTCGAATCTTCACCCTTGAGTTCATTTACTTTTCCCTCTATTATTTGATTTTGCTCTAGACATACTCTTTATTGACAATACCACCATATGGTAGTCCGTATCTGTCTCGATTATCTTCTTCCTAGATTCGTAGTTTTTCATTTACTACTATGTACCATATTATCGATATGCATAATGGAGCATTATGTGTGTATTTATGAATATCTATTATTCCCGTAACTTGGATCGACCAAGAGTATAATAAAATTTTTGAGTTTTATGGACCTCAATAATTAAAACCTTTTCATTTTCTGCAGTGGATCTTAAGGATTTTTTAATTTTTTAACAATTTGAGGCTCAAAATTATTTTTTTAAGTACCTTTGTCTACTAGTAAAAAGTTTTTACTATATTTTAACAAAAATTTCAGGTAACTATTTGATAAAATATATAATATATAAAGCCTTAAAATGGTCATTTATGAATGTTAATTTGCTAAATTGTTGCATTAAAAATTGTAAAAAAGCCTAAGTATTCTTTATTTCCAATAAATTCTAATACCTATTGTAAATAAAATGAACCTACAACCTTAATACTGCATATGCACGGATTGGGCCTTATATAAAATATGCTCAAAATATCAGAATGATTCATTGATTAATTTAAAAGGTATTTAAATTGTTTATCTCATACATTTTTTTCAATCAAATAAATTAGAAAAAAATACACTCATACTAATTATACGGTTTATATAAGAAAGAGGGAGAGTTATTCCATCAAAATAATTTTCAAAAAGTGGAAAAAATCCATATCCCACATTTCAAAAGTTGATTGCAAAAACGTTGCAATTTTTTGCTTATAAAGAGTTTGAACTATTGCGAAAACAATGCGAAAACATTGAAGAAAACATGATATTACCAAAGTTCATTTAATATTTCCAATTCTGACATACGTATGTGAATCTTGGACCATAAAACAAGCGGAAAGAAGAAAAATAGACGCCATTGAAATGTTCTGTTGGAGAATAATGTTACGAATTCCGTGAACCGACCACAGAACAAATAATTCAGTTATAAATGAGCTAAAGGTCAACAAACCAACTCCAGCAATTAAAATACTTTGGACACATGATATGAGAGCAGACACAGAGACCATGGAAAGAATTATTCTCCAAGGGAAGGACGGAGATCTTTGGATACGGAAAATACACATCATGATGACTACTTTATTCCCTCTTAGTGGTCAGGACTGAAGAAAAATGTCTCAATAGACCAATTCCAAGTCATTCAATAAATCAAAGGATTTTAAAAAAGTTTGGAAATACTGGCATCGGGATTCCAGGAAATTTAGAAAATCAAAATGAAATCAATGTATTGACATTGATCATGAGCAATGGTTTCGTGAGGGTTTTCATCTGCCCAGTAAACACAATTGTGTCGGTTAATCCGTCCGTTTAGTTTGAACTGCGCCTCGTCACTCCAAAGAATTTGCTTATAAAATTGTGCGTTGTCATCTGCGCAACCAGTATACCACTCGCAAAATTCCAATTTACGATCAGAATCGTCTTCCGTTATCGCATGTATCAAACATGGACGATAACAATGATAATTTAATTTATTTAACATGCGGCTTAAACTTCGGCGAGATATACCTAATTGAAGCGATTCCCGAACTGTGAATTGCTTGGGCGTCTCAACAAATGTTTCCGCAACGAGTTCCATATTTTCATCTATCACTACCACAGAAGGGCGACCACTATGCGGTGCGTCTAATACTAACCCACTTTGTTGGAACTTCTTATGCAACTTGTAAACCATCTGCCTTTTAGGAACAGGCCTATACTTAGTAGTGAATTCGTTGAATACCGTCTGATAATCTGCATTATAACGTAGGTACGAAGTCAACAGACAGACTCGTTCTTCTGTAGTGTACTTTATACGGGCTTGGGCTGCCATGACAGAGTAAACTCGGTGACCGACAATCTTGAACTAATGACAAGCGCCACACTTCTTCTGTCATCAGATTACATTTTAGTTGTTTTTAGCTAAATAGCAAGAATCACAATATACCACTGAATGCTCTAAACATATAGCTTTTTTACAAATCACACAATTATAAAAGGTCTTTCTGTCATTTTTTCTGGGGCAAACATTACATATTTTGGCTACTTTCATTTATTTATACTATCGAAATAACTAACTATATTTATATTATAGAAACTAACCTTCTACTCTCTTGAAATCCAAATTTTGAGGAATATACTGGCCTGTTCCTAGATGTTATAAAACTTTCAGGTATTTGCCTTTTGTTCTTTCTTAAAGTTCCAGTAGACGTCAGTTGATGATCTAAAAGCTTTAGCATCAGCTCATAACTTGTGAACCAATTATCGAATGTGACATTTCGTTTGGTTTCAGATATCGGAGTTACAAGTCGGAGAACTACGTCGCTAGGTTGCCGCTGTGGAAAACCACAGCGGCCTCTAAATGCCTCCAGCTTTTCATCAATAGTAAGGTATTTGCTTCGTGTATAGACGTATTGGCTATTTTGCACAAATTTTTCGAAAATTGCTCCAATTGCAGTCATTTTATCGAGTTTTTTTCTTTCTTCTCGATTTTCTATATTGTCAAAACATAGACAAGACTGTAAAAAAATAAATCTTTGTAAAGACATCTTCTCTCTAAATAGGCTTATTCCGGTTCCATCGGTAGACCAAAGATCTTCTAAATTAAGCCGAGCAGACTTGAATACAGTCCAAGTACAAGTACAGCCAAGTACAATAGTCCAAACAATGCTCTTATTTCAGTTGCATTGGTTTCGCGAACTGCATACTGATGGTTTCATCGTAGCAAGTGGACTTCCTTGCCCCAGAAGTTCATTTTACATTTCTATATCAGCCACCGACTGTTTTAAATCAATAATCATCTTCCTCGCTGTCAGAGTTGTGGCTACTGTTGTCTTCATTGTCGGATTCGTTCTCACTTGCAGATCCAAATACTACATCATCGTCTTGAGAATCGTAACATTAAGCTTGAAGTCTCTCCTGCTCCCGTTCATATCGATAAGCCATAATATAGAACAAAAACATAAATAATTTATGTATAAAATTTCACATTTTCATTAAAAATAAATCATTTCAACGGCAATTTTATAAAAATGTGAATGCCCAACTCAAACAATACTACCATAAATAGATATATTAACTTACCTGTGTGGTGTGGTATATGATAACCCAACGACATTTGGATAAAAAAAGCGATGCTTGCGTTCACATCTAAAGTAAATCAACAACTGCAAGATCTCCTTCAAGGTTCTAACGAAAGGTACTGAAATGCCTGTCGCGCTAATTTACCGATAAAAATATTGGCACTAATTTTAAACTCACTGGGGTATGTCATGCTCCACCCCACTGGCGCCGGGTTAAATTATACAGCCTTAAAAATTTTGAAAAGAAATAAATTGCGTTTGTATACATTTCAATGTCATCAAAAACTAAGAGAAGGAGATGCTGAGAGACGAGCAGAATTTTGGTATGAAATTTGAGAGAGGTCTACATTCTGTAGCTACCCTGTGTATATTTTTCTGCAATCATTTTCATATACGCGAATAAAAATTTCAATAATGTACTATAATAAAATACATTAATTTAATAGTTTTTCACTATGAGCTCATAATTATATTAAAATAAAAGTATTATCGAAGTTGCTGTTAACATTGTAATTATTTAAAACTTGGCGGATCAAGTCTAAAAGAAAATTTAAGAAGCCGGCCCTGTGTTTAAGATTTTTATGTTACATTATTATTATCTAACTCAGAATATCATTTTTAAGCTATACTTTACTAATGACAATCCGTTCGAACATGTCCGTTAAAATCCGATGACTCAATTATGACCAACACAATTAAGCACCCCACTGGAGATCCAAACAATTACCTAATGAATTTTTCAAATTAATCAATGGTATTATTTTTGAGCGACAAAATGTATGACACGCATCGATGCCGTATCAGGGATCACGCTTCGCTTCATAGTCACAGGTTTGCCAGAAGTTTAACAATTAGCGGGAGTTGGAAGCTACATACAAAAACAAAGTATCTTGTTCTTATCGTTTCTTTTTAATTTTAAATTTAAAAAGTATCGATTAAGTTGTTTTACAAAGTTTCAAAGTGTTTGAAAGTTCGGCAGGATGTTTGGTACGAAATTTATTATAAACAAAGTTGTAGATCATTCAGAGCTTCCACAAATTGTTGCAATTGTTATTAGTAAGTACACAATAATGTGAAATTATACCAAACATTTAGGTTAGGACTTTATCATGTTTAAATTTATCGCTATGTGTGGTTGGTTTTCCTAATTTCGTTTATTGATAAGATAATTTTAATTGATATTAATTTTAATCCTCTACATTAATGTTTTTTCTTGCTGTCTTGCATTAGATTTTTGGGGCTTTTTTCCGATTGAGTAAACGTTTTTTCACTACAATCGTCTTCCTAGGTGTTACAAGTTTTACGACCTACATCTATCTGATATTTTCTTGTTTTTGTCCACAGAATATTCAATATCGCACAACATACATAACACAATTAACTTCCAATTTAATCAGAATAGTTTGCCACACTTCACATTTCTCAGTCTTTTCTATATTATTTTGTTCATTCTGTGCTACCTCTAAACTCATAAATTTTCGTATTACACTTTAGTACCGATTCTAGATATCTAAAAGTATAATTATGCACAAAATTATTAACATTTTAAGATATATATCTATACAATCGGTTTAGAAGGTTTTTCAATATTAACCGATGCTCCATTTCTCTTCATGTCGATTGTTATATTGTCCTTGTCTGAGATCTTAGGAGTACATTTATTCTCTTACTTATTCCATTCATGGTTTTTTAGGTCTTCATTTCTTATGTCGTATCGTATGTGTCCATCTTCGCCTTTTCTTTTTCTTCGTCAGCCTTTTCCTTTTCAGGGGCACTGTTCCTTATTCTTCTTAGCCACTCATTTTTGTCCATCTGGTCTTCTTCATCTAAACTTTTCTCCCTTAATTCCTCTCTCACACAGTTCTTTTATCTTCTCGGTTTTCCTCTACCTCTCCTTCTATCAACTTGTAACAGCTCTATCCTTCGTTTCACATAGTTTTCATTTCTACGTCTGGCATGGCCAAACCATTGCAGCCCTTGTTCTTGAATCTTTTTTGAGACTGGAGTTGTTTCCCTAATCAAGTCGTTTTTGATCCAGTCTCTTCTAGACTTACACAACATCCACTGTAATATTTTCATTTCAGCTAACTCCATTTTCTCACCATATTCTTTTATATCTTTCCGTTTAGCCCACATTTTTCTAACACAAAGTACCACGCTCATTCTCTTCCAGTTAAACTAATCAGCCTGTATTATATGGGCAATTTCTCGATCTGGTATCCTGTTCCAAGCAATTCTATGTTCCCAACCATTCCTCTTTCTCTAAACCATATATACCTACTCCGTTTTCGACCTGCTAACTTTAAGTCCTCTCTCTTCAATAGCCCATATCCAACACTTCAACTTCTTCTCTAACATTTGTTTGCTCTCATCTATTAACATGATATCATCAGCAAAGATCTGAACATGGAGCCCCTCCCCTACTTTCTCTGTCATTATATCCATAACATGATTAAACAGGTAAGGACTCAATGAAGAGCTTTGACGGAAACCAACCGTCGCGTCACTGGAAAACTTTTAGTCAACCCGATAGCTGCCCTTACTTTGGTATATGCTCCCTCATACATATCTTTCACAAGCCTTTAGTACTTCTAAGGAACTCGTTGTTCTTTCATACATCTCCATGGCTCTTGTCTAGGAACTCTGTGATACACCTTTTTACGATCTATAAATAACAAATGTAGATCTCTTTTCTTCTAGTCGCATTTTTCTATTAACTGTCGCATAGCAAACAAGCCATCCGTTGTTCTCCTTTCTGGAATAAACCCAAACTGTTCTTCTCATATCAGTGCCTTCCTCCTTAACCTTCGCTCTACAGTTCTCTTCGAAATGTTTATTGTGTGCAACATTACCTTTATCACTCTTCAGTTCTTACAGTCCTTAATGTCACCTCTATCTTTATAGAATGATACCATCACACTCTCTCTCCATGCATTGGGCATCCTTTTTTCCTCATATATTCTACTTAATATCATTTGCCACAATATATTAACTCCTTCCTCTCCTAGAGCCGTCCAAACCTACACAGGTATTTCATAAGGTCCTACTGCCTTACCATTCTTTATCATATGTAACGTCTTGGCAACTTCATCTCTCGCTATTCCTGGTATAACATTCTCATTTGGGATCTTGCAACCTCTGTCTCTCATCTGTTAGTCTTCATTTAGCAATTTTTTAAGAACTCATACCATACGTCCATGCGTTTTTTTTATTTTGGGAGGTTATTATTTTTTATGCTGTACAGGCCCGTACCGCATGAGCTGCTTTCATTGTATGCCATTCAATATTTTTGCATACTATTCCGATGTCTTTTCTGATTTATTCATTTCTCTCTCTTCTTGAAATCTTTAGCATTATCCTTATTACATCCAGTTCCGTAGTTTCTATCTTTCTTCGGTTTCTGACTGTTAATCGCCACGTTTCACGTCCGTATAGCATATTGTTTACAAGAGTTTCATAGATAATCAACTTTATCCTCTTTATTATATTCTTGTTTCAGAAATTCCTTTAAGGCATCCCGTAGATTTTCTGGCTATATTATTCTGGTGTTAGTGTCTTGGTCATCTTTTATGCCCTAAATAGTTCAATTGAAGTGCATCCAAACCATTTACGGGGATTACATAGCCACGAGATTTTATATCTTTCCACGCTTCTTCGCGATTATTCCATCTTAACTGTTATAAATAAATTCTAATTTTTATTTTCCTTTAGACATATATTTGGATTTCATTTATGATCGTAATGTTCCATACTTTTTGGTTTCTTTTGCTTTTTTATTTCCCCTTTCACATGCGCCTTTGCGTCTAATTTTCCACGCATGTAAGTAAATTCTGAAACTCTTCTGAATATGCATCTATTTTCTCTTTCTACTTTCAATGTGAAATTGTCTTTTTTATCTGCTGATTTTCCCATTATATGTTTTTGAAGAGAAGCTTCTATACTATCGTTTTATTACTTTTTTCTCTATAGTAAAACGCTGATGTGAGCGTCACGGAACTAGCGCCCCAAGATGGCGTTATAATATTATGGCGCCAATATTCCCTTTTCGTTTTTCGTGTTTCCTGGTAAAGAGATCTTATTTCCTTTTTTTGAATTTTTTTATTTCTTTAAGTTGTCTTTGTTGTATTTTCATTTTTACACGTTATTTACATAATTTTACTCAATTCTCTATATTCTTGAGCACTACCTTCACTATTATTTGTTAAATTTTTGATTTTTATTTTTCTAACTGAATTACATATTTTAGAAACCCCATAATTCCATTTTTATAAAATGTTGAGAAATTAGAAAAAACCTGACTTCGCATTGCCAGATTGTTTTTTTACTCGTTTTATACTATAGGAACTTGCCCTCTCGTCTTAACGTGGTTTTTAAGCACGCAACCGCTCATTGGTATGCCAAAAATGGTAGATAAAGGCTTTTCTACAAATTTTATTTGATCCTTTTGGGTCCCTGAATTGTATTCAAAGAGCTAGTCTATCAGGCTTGCAAGAAAATATTCATCTGAGTTTTATGCGCCTTCGACGTGCAACTTTATGGACTGAAATAAGGATTGTAGCAAACAATCTTGTTCGTTCTTGGTTGTTAAGTGTCCTGAAGTTCGGAATAATTGAATGTGCGTTTGTTCAGAAATTGTAAAAGCATTTTTGGCGACATCTAAAAATAAGTTCATTAAATTACAATAATAAAATATTAGATATTGTTAAGTAGTTAGTAATATTTTAAATCTTAAGGCTTACTTGCAGTCTGGTCATGGTTCACTCTCAGGCGCCAAGGCTCACTCTATCCGTTTATAGGCAGACCCTTTAACTCAGAGTTTTAATAACGGCTCTTTATTATACACTGATATTTACGTATTCACGCTTTTTTGCGCGTTGACGACTCATTTTTAATTTCCACTATTTAAATTATTATTAATTTTTACTGTAATAACAACCAACAATATGTAGAGATCACAAATAATGTGCATAAACCTAAAAAAATCAAAACCTCCTGCCATGTCAAAAATCAGTGTGTTCAAATATTATACAGTACTTTTCAGATAAAACTATCCACCTTAAATACCTTTTGAACCTCTAATTTTTTGGAGGAAAAAAAAAACGCAAAAACACTTTAATTAAATCTGAAGGAAGAAAGATAATATCATATTTAAGGTTGCTGGAAAATGCACCCTCTCAACCCCCGGTAATCAACCCTTTTTTTTGTTAAATTACCTCCCCCTTATTTTATTTTAATTTGGATTCTCCTTTTTGTTACTGATTTCAGAAATGTATACATGATACTTGAAGTGGATTAGTTTATGAGAAAAGAAAATACAAGGGAAGAAAAATTGGATTGAAAAAATTTATTTTTTAACAATTTTATTTACTCACATTTAGAACAAACATTTCCAACTACTAAAAAATTTTACAAAAATTGTTCAAAATGACTGCCTTAACTTCAATACAATAGAACAAATATATTAGGAAATTCTTCTCTGACATTGCTTAACACGTTTGACATTTAATTGTCGATTCATCGTTTATTCTTTGTTGTAAATCATCTAGATATTCTGGTTGTTGTATAGCATAATTTTTGTTTTTAAATACTCCATAAGAAGAAGTCTAGGGTGTTCCATTCCGGTGAACTAGGTGGCAATCGATCTCTGTCGTCTTTTACCTATCCAAGGACCGGGAAACGTTTCGTTTAAAAATTATTGCACAGGTAAAGCAAAGTGTGGAGAAGCTCCTCATGTTGATATACAAACCAAATCAATCGGAAAGGTTATCACATTTGCGTACTGTTGTTCTACTAACGGTCAACCACTTGCCTATATAATTCAAGATAACGATGCACCATTTAAGTTTTCCAGTGATTAAAGAATTGTCCGATAATGTGTTTACGTAAGGATACCACACCATACGTTTAACCTTTGAGGATGCTGTGTGTGAAATTCGCGTACAATATGTGGATCACTCTCAGCCCAGTATCGGCAATTATATCTGTTCACCAAACCGTTTAATGAAAATGAGCATTCATCCGAGAAGCAAATATTGTTTAACAATTGTGGATTGTTA